TACTTATCGCAGCTTTACCTGAGAAATTCTACATTTGTGTCATTTGTGCGAAAAAAGTGACCATATTAGCTGGTTGATGCTTAGCGCAAAAGCGAACACAAATGCGAATTTGTGACGGCAGTTTGAACATTCGCCCTACGACTTTGCAGAAATTGAACACATTTCAACTCGGGCGAAATGTTGCTGCAAATCTTTCGTGACGTCAAATTCGCTTCACTTCCACATTGAACAGGCCTGGGGGGGGGGGAGGATATACGGCGAAATTCTCTAATCCCCCATCCATATTGCCGTTAAACCACGCCCTCTCCTGTGACACCAGTACTACACCTTCGTGTGTGCCAACGAGCGACCTCCCCTCCCCCAATATTTGTTTGTATTTAGATGTTACACTTGCCATGCGTGTGGTTGTGAGACAATAAAATGAACTCTGATAACTGTCTGCGCTTGTGGCTTCGCATTGACTCTCATGTTTTTAGAATTAGTTGTCCTCATACAGACCGAGGACGAGCAATGTCCTCGAAAATAAGCTCATGACACTGCGGTGACTGTGGGGTCGTAGCCCTTATCCACGTTATTGGAAACCAGCGATCTTTTCCAGAATCATCACACTTTCGTGAATCATTTAGAATGAAAGTAGACTTGTGCAAGTCTAGTCTAGTGTTTGAGTCTGTGGGCACCAAATTGGGGAAAAGGCTGTTAACAAAAATCCGGATAAATGTGGAATCAACATCTCATAATGGACTGGTGAATTACTTGCAGCCTCATCTTTACCTTGCAGGTTTTTAGGAAAGTAAAATCGATTTTGTTTTTCTTTTTTGAGATGGTGCGACCTGATTTGTCTGTTAGGTTCCTCGAACTTTTTGGCATGTCGGTCGCTGGTTAAGATGCGGTTTGTACCTCTGGTTCATTGGGACGAAACACAAGCCAAATTTCCGGCACCAGTTTCAGTTTGATTGGAGGCGTCATTGTTTCCATTGTTAGGAACCTGAAATCCACGACCCACCCTGTTGCCTCCAGAATTGAACGTAGCCTTGATTCCAGCAGTCCAAGTTGTTTCATTCACATAGGCACGACGTGATTTGGTGTAATTCATCATCCTTCTCGTTCAATTTTAAGGGAGACTGTTTGGTGCTGTTAAATCTGCTGCGAACAGTGGCGTGGCCGGGGAGCACGTGCCCCCCCCTTCCCGGTGCCCCCAGGTCCCCCCCCCCCTTAAAAAGGATGAATGGATATTGAACAAGGCTAACAAAAGCTTGCCCCCCAAAAACAGACCACTGAAAGCTGGTGCCCCGCATAAAATGCTTGTGCATCCCCAGTAAAATCCTACTTACGCCACTGCAGCGAATTCGTTTGGTTACTATGACATATGTTCAGATTTACGGCCATCTCAAGCAGAGAACCGCTATGAACCACATTTCCTCCAAATGAAGCCGTCGCTAACTAGGCACACTGTCCTGTCAGTTCAAAGATCCCGTGAGCGTCAATGTTAGTAAATTTCATTTGACACGAACTTTGAAAACATACCCCTATTGTGACAGGCTGGCGTGAACAGTCGTTGAAGTTTTTCCCAGGCATTTTCAACATGACCTAGACGATTTGAACTTCTGTCCCTGATAAAAAAACTGGGTTATCTCAGGAGCTGATTATCGCACTGCCCCTAAGAGAAACAAGCCATCACAAATCCATGAATGTCATGACCAAAGATGTTTGCCACACACGTCGCGGGTAAGAGTCATACTTAATATGAATGCTGCAGAACATTCCCTTGAAAATTATTTTGGGTTAGTCGGTCATTCAGACATGCGCCTGTGAGAATTCTCTTCTCCTTGAGCTAACTCGTACGTACGACTTGTATGTCGTATGTACGACTTATAAGTTGTACGTACGAGTTATGATTTATATCTCATACGTACAACTTATATCTCGTACGTACGACTTATATCTCGTCTGTACGGTTTATACGTCGTACATATGAGTTATATTATCCACACGTCGTACGTACGAGTCATGATTCATAAGTCGTAAGTACGACGTATAAGTTGTACGTACGACATACAAGTCGTAAGTACGAGTTAGCTTACGGAGAAAAGAAAAGACAATTTTCACTGTGTCCCTAATACAGCTTCGTAGAGAATTAACTCCGAGGTTCAACCTCCATGCCAGTTCACTATAGGTATACACTCTTCTGTTCACAGGCAGCCGATGCTCTAACATCATTATCCTCTTGAGTTGAAGGGGGCCCTCACCGGCGAAAGAAAGATAGACCGGCACGAGGTTTTTCGCATGCGTTCGGGGAGCACGCAAAGACCTTATAGATTCCAGATTAAATTCGTTGCGCGTACTCAGCGTGTTCCGCGATGAGTTCGTACCGAAGGACTGTCAATTTTATTAAAACACGCCCTCTTTTGTTCCCGCTTGGAGTGGATAGACCTATTTTCAAAAACAAGATGGCCGACACATGAATACAGTCTATTCGCCTCAGTCCAGTATTTTCTTTTTAAATGCCATGGAGAATTTTGAAAGATCACTTGTTGCTTGGAAGCATAGGTCCCCAAAGTGATTATAAAAGATTCTCCGTTTCGTTTAATGCAGAGCTATTTCCGAGAATGTCTTTCATTTCACTCCTGATTTACGACCAAGATGTTAATTAGATCACAATTGATAATAATATTTGGATTGAAATGGAAGGAAAAAATCACGCAATCCAAACCACAACAACGAAACTGCTTTAGGCAAAGACGAAAAGTTAAGATGTTTAAGTATCAGATAACATTGAAAAGCGACAACGAAGTAGACAAGAGGATAAGCGTGAACTGAAGCTAAAACATGAACTACCGATGGTATGAAGTATTCCAAAATACGCAGAATAAAATTGATAAACAGCCTGTATTGGGACACATGGGGGGTGGGCTCAGTGAATTCGGTCAGTTAGAGCACTGACCGTCAGAAGTTTTTTTGCTTCTGTAAATTCTGAAAGGGGGTGGGACACACGAGGGGCACAGACCTTGAGCGAGGGGGTCCCGTGCTGACAAGGTCACAAAATGCGAGACTGTGGTACTTTGTTTATGCTTTCGGGGCATAAACAAGCGACAGCACTTGGCCGGTTTGATCATCGAATTCACCTGCGCGTCCCACTTTTCTCTGCATTACTGGATAAAGACTCCCATTATCATCACAATATACATTGTTTAATTGTGGCCTGTCAGTGTGTCGGAAGAAAAGGGCATTGCAGTGACTAATATTAATTTCAGCAAACACTTCGTAGCAACTGAAAAGGGATGGGGGTGAACAAAATGGCTCGTCTAAACTCAAGGAGGGCCTACTATAGAATTCCCCTCATTAACTAAAACAAGAGTAACTTTTTGAGTGGCCTTTCTGGGGAAAATCCCGAGTGGAAATAAGTCTAATACTAGTACGAACAAGAAGCGACACTTGCGAATGAGCGCCGCGGTATTTGACCCAGTTCCAGGTGAATGACCTGGAGACAGCGCTCTAAATCCCGCCCCTTCAAAGGTGCGACAGGTGACCAGCTTTAACAATAGCCAAGTTACTTTCAAAGTAGGGACATTTCCTGGTGTTTACGCGTATTGGCGTTTCAAAGTTTTCTCTTCTTAGTGTTTCAGGTTTATTTCCATTCCAAATATAAGTTAAATAATATAGAACTTTTTCACCCACTTGACTGGATTGCGCTAAATGTAAGCAATACCTCCCCGTGTGAACCGTTGATCAGCCTTAAGGGTTTCTTCGGAATCACAAACAGTTTAAGGATAGTTTTATAAGTAGTTTTCCACGCAAGAATGCCGTATTGAAGATGAGGCAAACATAAGGTATTATACATCCAAAAAAGAATACGAGAAGGGAGAAAGGCGCTGAGTTTCCTGAGAACACCAAGATTTCGAGAAATAAGTGCACTTCGGAACTTTCTGGCAATGAAGTTTCCATGTTAACTTATCAGTGATTAAGACACCCAAAAAATGTACAGGAATTCACACTTTCCATAAGATTATCTTTAAAACGAATCCTGATTTCTTTTGTCTATGTTTCGGTTGGTAAAAACCATCGAGTGAGTTTTCTTCAAATTCAAGGTTACTTTGTTCTCACGAACCACTCAAAAACATTATTTAACTCCCTGTCTATCAGATCATCAGACGTTTTTACCACTGTTGAATATATTTGTGTCATCTGCAAATAATATAAACTTGAGAAGTTTTCTGGAGTTACACGTATCATGAATGTAGATAAGAAATAAAACGGGCCCTCGAAGTGAGCCTTGAGGTACACCACAGGTGATTAATTTGTCATTGGACCTTTTATTTTGCAAGATTACATAGCCTAGTGCTTCCTATTCTTGAGATTTTTGAGTCTTTAAACCATTCCAGTGCGGTAACTATGACACCATGTAGCTTTAGAGATAAGAATATCATGCTGAAAAAAAAATCACCCAATCGGACTCGGCTTCTTTGATAATGGAGTGGAAAAAATATTCTTTCAGGAAATTAACTAGTAAGGCTAATGTGATCCTTTGTTGAAAAAAAAAACACAATAGATTTGAAAGTTTGTGACACCTCCGAGGACTAGCCTTTGCCATCAGAGGTATATGTGACGAGTCACCGTGTATCTGGCGGGGTTCCCGGGCCGTGTGGAAGGCAATAATTGCCCGGACACCGCTCCGGAAACGAAGCTGATGATGAGCAACTGCCACACGGGGACGAAAACTAGCCCGTGGTCCCAAGACTCCCGTCCAAGGCCATGACATATTTCGGTTGTGAACGTCCCTTTCAAAATGAAAAAAAAGCTTTTAAGCTTACCTTGTTTCGGGCCATTTTTTTCTTTGAGAAAATTGGTCAGAACTATCAGTCATCAATCAGTATTTTAAAAAAATGGGTAAGAAATTCCACGTCGCCTCTGGCAAAAACGATTGATATACGAATATAAGGTTGTGACAATAAATACATTTAAACTTACATAAGTTAAAGAGCTTCCTGTCTGTCCATGCGCAGTACGCATGCCACGCCTCCAAACTCGTGATCTGGAAGCATGGCAGCTCAAGGCTCACATGCAGCTGTCAATTAAAGCCCGCGTCGTTCCGCCCCCTGGTAATCGACTGCGCTCAGGGTCTAAAGCTGAATTTCTACCAGTGAACACGTTATTACCTGTTTGCTACTGTGGAAGAGAGAAACAGCGATCTGGAAACGATTACTCGTCAAGAGGTAAGTCCCTTCTCCGATCATTCGTGCCCGTTATATTTTCTTATATTTAGCTGTAAAGATACTCTCAACTGTTACAGTTTGTGTATTACGTTTATTATTCTTTGTCGCATTCTCTTCCCTTTTTCGTACGGGACCGAAATTGTTCTCCGTGTACGTGTCTGCTTTCAAAACCAAGGTCTAATTGCATGCCTATAAATATATATTAATTTTATTTAAATATTTTATATAATAATTCATTCCCCTGATCTGTCAAAACAGTGAAATGCCCTCTTTGGGGTTTCATTTCTTTTTACACTCTTCCATACTTGAAATTTGACTGGCCTTTCCCGCCAGATGAGGGCGTTTTATAGGTGACGTCACACCCGGATACTCTCAGATTGTGAGCCTAAAAGATGTAGTTCATTGACAAACTTATCTGTACAAAAGGTTCTGACTTCCTGAGTCCACATCAGAAAACGGAAGAAAAACAAAACTGTATCACCCTACGGCACGAATCTCGAAATTATTCCAACTTTTAATGCCGAACAGCCATAAGATGACGTCACTTCGTAGTTCGTGAATGTGGAACTTTGTATTACCGTGAAAGAAAAGGCATAGCAACGCGCCAAAATTAGCAGTTTCAAGCAAATGGTGTACAAAACACGTAGCTTACATTTTAAATACTGCTGTTTGGAAGGTCTATTACGTTGACGACGAAAATGACTTTGTCTGCATCAGAGTTATGTGATTTCTGCAAAGAGTAATTCAGGCTTTGGCTGGCGTCTTTAAAATCTAATATTTATTTATTTACTCACCCAGATTCCTCACCATTTAAAGTTACAACAAAAGTTATCATTATTTACTACATTGGCGGCTCAAAAGCAAACACCGCGAGGCTCATGCTTCAGAAAAATATCCCCCACTGTGAAAAACTGTTTGGATAAAAAGGCCGATAAACATCTGACCATGTAGTTAGGCTAAGTTCCCTTGGATAGCTTTCTTCACGATAGCCTATTTCATTTCCCGCGCTCCAATAACCTAAGATGACTTTGCCATGTACGTGACTGAAGTCACATTACGACACTGATAATGTGGTAACATGGTCGAGTTTCTGTGCAGATAGTTTGGTTTCGACTAGCCGTTCTGAACCAGATTAAAAGCGGTCGATGGCTACATAATGTACATGTACAAAATGATATCATGGATAATGCTAACTCCCAAAATGTTTCTAACTCCCACAAGCTCAGTATACAAAATTTCTTAGAGTAAACAATAAAAAACATTAGCATTAACTTAAATACGGTTAGTAATTTTGAAAGGCCCAAAATACAAAAGCTGAAGTAATACCCATCATCTCATTGGTGGGCTGTCAATCACGTGTCATGAATTATTCATCCTAACGCACGGCGTGCAACAATGCGCAGATTTCGTCTCGAGGAATAAACCATTCATCTTTCTAGTGTTGTATCAGAGTCCATAAAAATCCCTGAATAAGGCCAGTCATGAGTAACTGGTTGAACAATGAGAAAGGAATGCTTTTGTCAAAGCTCAATTGAAAAGCTTGTGAATTGGCTTAAGACTGAAGACTTGTGATAGACCTATATTATCTTGCAGGGACTGGCGATGGACCCGAATGCACTAATTAACACGGTTTCTGCTTTGGAAAACGTTTAATGAATTATGTTGTTAATGCAAATTCGTACAATAATTCAGTTTCAAGTATTGAAGCCAGATCTTTATTTTAAGGTAGATTTTGAAATAGGTATTGGCCGCATACAGACGATGGAAAACTTCGGACAAGTGTTGAAACTCGTCGTCATAGCAACCCTCTCGGTCGCCTGGACAACAGCGCAAGACACTCCGTGTACTTGCGACTATACGCAGTATGAAGGTACTTGCAATTTGCCGAGAAGTTGATGAGATTTCAGCTTAACCCCCGACTTGCAACAAGAGTTCCACCGATCTCTCTATTTAGTGTAGTACACGTCTTGAGAAAATTCCTGAAAACAGTTGGGGTTTCCAGACAACAGTAATTTGAGGCTCTATCTCTAATGAATGTGTAAAAAGTCGTATGATTTTGAGTGGCCAATAACTGGCACCGTACTAATTATAAATTCATCCAGAATTTACTTTGAAAAAGCACTGGATCCTTGCATGTTGCTTTGTTTCCAAAAATGAAGCCCATACTCACGAGTTACGTACCAGATAATCAAAAGAACTTTAAAAGCTGTCCTTTATTTTCGTAAGCCCTCATATTTTTGCAGGCTCAAGCCCTCGAAATATTATTTTCTGGCTTGGTAATTAAGCCATGCCATCACACGGTAACGATGAGGATCTATTTTCTTCATGGCGCAGGGCTGGAGAGCCGCATCACGACCTTAGAGACCCTGACATCCAGCCTTCATGACACCGTATTTAAGGTCAGGCAAGACAACAACAAGATGAAGAAGCTGACTGTTGCCTCATTGAACATAGCCCTGACTCCTGAGGAGAACCAGTGTCAACACGTGGAAGAACTCGTTAACATCATCGGAGGTAGGCCCGCCATTTGCTTGTGCCCCAGAATAGGAACTTCGCCACAGTAGAGATGGTCGTTTGGTTTCTGGCAGTGCCTAAAATGAACTGACTTCGGCGAAGAATAGCACACGTCTATGGCTACGGGCTGTAACCGCCGGCTAAATTAGTAGTGTCAGGTATGCATGACGTATTCCCAGTCAAAGCCGCAACTTTCGGCTGAATTACCGTCTTTCGCTCATCTCCACTGCCCTTAGAGGGCGCGGCGCTGAGAAGGTTAAACTCTCATTGGGCGACAATGACGATGAAAAGTGGCATGGGCTGGCCAACACTAGCCTGTCTCTTCTTTGCCGGAGGGGGCGCTTCTATTTACGGATACAGGCATGGTGACCTTTTCCTTTTTTCCCCCCTTGGAGCAGGACTTTCATTCTACGTGGGGCTGGGCCCCAATTCCTGCGAGCTGATGGGCACGGCGCTCTACCCTGCCGTGGCCTGCAGTCAGCTGCATGAAGCCTGCCGGAAACCTAGCGGAAGTTACTTCGTCCGAAGCACAGTCTTCACAGAGGTAGGCTGTTTAACCCTCCGGGACTTCGTCTCAACGCTAAAAGTCGATCACAGTCCGTTTCGTAACATTTCCCTCATCGTCACAGTAATTTTTTTCGGGGGGGGGCTCTTTGGAGGCCTACTATGAGGTTAGAGAGGAACGTATTAAATTGCCATTAGATATTTGATGCATTTTAAAGATACATTTTTTGATCCTGTGGGAATAATTATCAGACACGATGAGTTAAGACTAGACCAGAGTAGCAGAGATTGTGAAATGAAACACGATTATAGGACAGTCTACAGAAGGATTTACACGACTAAAGCAAAAGACACTTGGCCAAGTGTGATCAGCGACAGTAACATTTGTCAAGATCTGGTCGATTTGGCCCGGTACCCTGGATATGATTAATTTTTGTGTAGAGGTTTCCATGAAAATGGGTAAGCGATTCACAGAAGGTTGCTGACCAAACGTGGCCCTGTCGATCGCAGGTATACTGTGAGATGGACGAGTTCGGCGGCGGCTGGACTCGCTTCGGCCGGGGCGGCATGGAGTCCGCCTGGAACTACCAGGACGAGAACGAGAGCGAGGTCACCCTGATTGTGATCTCCCCGCGGGACGTCAAGCTGATCCAGGACCTGCGCTTCAACACCTTCCGGGTCTCCACCGACGTGACGTTCCGCATGCAGGCCGATGACTCCACTAGCCCCTCCACCGTGTACACGCGGACCTTGCCTTGGCTGGAGGAGAAGCCGTTTACCATCGGTTACGGACGCGACCATACACGCTTGGAGCTTACCGATGAAGGTGGGTGACCAATTGTAATGATGCCTCACCTTAATTTGTCCGATTCTGCCGCTTTATCCAGTCCGTAATTGTGACGTCACTTCATGAAATCAATCTTTCCACTGCACTATAAATATTTATTCGCTCAATTGTAATTTTTTGGGGTTCTAACCTTTTCGGTGTACTTGAAGATTGAATCTGTCATAAATCTTTACATCTACTACCGATGAAAGACCATCGACCTGGTTTCAGCCCTAAACCGACCCCGCCTTGCCCGTCTTTCTCTGTCAGGAGACCGACTCAACTGTTTCGCCGGCGGCTCTAGCCGATGCGGTGAGGACGGACTACCGCGGACTGACGAGCCGTCCGCGCGGGTAGCGTTCACCTCCGTCTACTTCGGTCCCCGAGCCGAAGACCGCGGGGCTCAGGCGCACCAGTCCGAGTGGTCTCGCAATCGTTTCACCTGGTCGGGTTCCTTCTATTACCTATTAGCCAAGTAAACACCAAGCCGTCCGGGTGATCCTGTGGTCGTAGGCCCGTGGCGTTCCATGTGGCTTCCAGGCCATGTTGTATTAATGACCGTGTAATGAGCTTATTGCATGCATAATCGATCTGTACGTAAATCTCACCCCAAGGGTACGTCATGAATCGATCTTTAAGGACCAAAAAGGTATTACCGTAGAGAGTTTAATGCGGTCCTTAAAATTGTTCCTTCGTATCCTGCAAATGTATTTTTCCTCTTTATTCAACTGCAGTTTTAAAGATATTTAGTCAGCTGTGGTTTTATCTTAATACAAATTTTTCAGTGTTGCGTCAAGGATGACAAAGATGGTGCTTTACCGGGCATCTAAACACCGAGCACTCACAAGTCTCCTTCCACATAGGTTCGGCGACATATTTCTCCCACTAGCATTTACTGTATGAAATAACTGGGGACGTTTGAGACGCTTGGTGGCGGCAAACATACCGGTCCCACGTGACCAGTCCGGTATGTGAATTTTTTTTAACACCACGCGGTATTCGGTAAGCGCTAGCGCTATACATTTGTGGCTGTGTAGGATTGTTTTAAAGAGAAGTGAAGTCTGAAATTTCAACAGGAGAAAGCTTCCACGAGGCGTGAAGACTAGTCTCCGCTCAAGACCGGCAATAAACAATAATTTCCCACAGAAAAGTATACAAGGTGTAACCCCAGACTTGTAATAAGAACCACGCCTCCGATATTGTTTGAGCAGGCGCACATAACCTGAAACCACACGTGACGCAACAGAAAAGGGTCAGTTTATTTTCTGCCACCAAGAATTTCATACTTTTCCCTTTCCTCTTTCTTTCGCTCTTTCTTTTTGCAAATCTTGTTTTTTATATTCTAATCAACGTTATAACGTGTAGTAATGGCGGCTACTACCTCAGCACACATTTATAAGTGAATATTATTAAAACTTAATCTTTGTTTCTGTTTCCTTATAATGCTCATAACTTTTAACGATTGCTTAAAAATATTACAATAAAACATGTTATTGAAATAGTTTGGATTGCTTGCTTGTCGAACGTTATGGAAGTTAATTTGTTGAGGGTCCCCTGTCAGTATCTACTTTGAGCAGAAGCACCCCCTCATTGGTTGAAAAGAGCAGTGTTAGTCGGGAGTTTTCCTTTTCGCTGGTAATTACACGCCCGTCACGCATGCATTTCATAGTCGTTTCTGAACCAGAGAAGTGCACTGAGTCCCAACCAAAGGAGCCTTCATTGCTGGGAAAATTGCGCCTTCTCTTGGTCCAGCTCGAGGTGCATAGAGTAAAAGTTTTGATGTGTAGAAACCAACATGAATGTGCCTAGTGCGTGCCTCTGCTGCATTATTACTAGCCTACAGAACGTGCAACTTACCCACAGGTTGTTGGACAAAGTCTTTCCTGGTGACATCTTAATCGACATCAACTTTCGCTTTTGCATACTCAATCGACGTAATCAAAGTCGATTTTATCTACATTGTGTAATCACATTGGCTCAGCTCAAAGTTTGTCGATGTCCAGCCAACAGAGGACTTTCTGTAAACTAGGCGGCTGATACGAAATGGCCGCCAATATGTATAAACAAAAGAAATCAAGGCTGTTATTTTACTGTCTGCTTAACCTATGTTAGACTCAAGACACAGTGCTTTCATGGTCCGCGACAAGACTCGACCCCAGTACACAGACTAAAATAATTGTAGGACTGCATAAACTGCCAACATGGCCATGACGCAGCGATCTGTACCCAAGATGGCCGCCCCTCCGGACCCATCTGCCCTCTGGGTCCTGAACTGGTACCCGGCCATCGGTTCGTCCAGACCGTGGTCTGACTGAAAGGCAGCAACGTCGAAGTCAAGCCTGCTGCCGGGTGGGATGACGGCTAAAGGTCCCGGCTGGGAAAACGTAAAGAACTGGTAGCGATGGAAGCCGGTTCCCTCGAGCGGGCCTGGCGATATGTACCCTATGAATAATGGGGGAATCATAAATATTCAAAATCATAAAACGAAAACAGTCGGCCCTCAGAACGTTGGTTGGTTGGAACTAAGTACATGTATACAAATAATAAATGACGTAGTCAAACTAAACGCCAATGAAGTCAATGGCCGTGTCCGAAACGGGCGTCCAGAGATACGGCTAGGTCTATTGTCGGCGCGTCTCCACGCATTTCTATTGGAGCGAAGACCTAGACTTGGCTCTAGACAAGAGATTCGGGTGCAGCCATAGACTTCTTCAAGAATTAGATGATGACGTCAGCAGTTCAAAGGTCAGCATTGATAGGAGAAAGTGAACATCTGTAAATGGTCAGATTGAAATGAAGTAAAGTCGTTTTGTTGGCTCTGTATATTTTTTTGGTTCACTTTATCTTACCCATGACTTCAGTTCCATTGGCGTATTGACCCACACGGAGCTCATCGCCCTGTTAACGTAGAAGACAGAAGTTTGAAACCAGTTGTTTCGCCAATAGTCATCTGAGTCCAATGATTCAAGCCCGGATGGGCATCTTCAAGAGTCGTAAAGACCTGAGTAAGGTCCATGAGCGAAGCATCGTTACTGTTGATTCTCGACTTTAGAAAGTTCACACCCTTTCCGAAGACAGTATGTCAAATTAATCGACACTAACTGTTTAAAACAGGTCGACGTAATCGAATTCGATGTCTTTTCTCTCTGCCGATGTCACACTGTACAGAGCACTCGCCGCGACAAAAAGGACCCAACATCATTATCCAGAAACGCTGACTGACCGATGTATGTGCCAAAGAAACAAACAGTGACAAACAAACAACCCAACAAATTCACAGACACTCGTAGTTAATAGTACATTACACCTAACCTTTGACTGGCATCCAAATTCTACTCATCAAATAATCTTAATTGCTTAGAAATTATCTCTGTCTACTGTCGAGTGGTCTTGTGCTTAGACTCATGTTTTGGAATATCGTATGCCGTCTTCTGCTTGAAAAAAATACGCATAAGATGTCTTTTCAACCCTGTCCTCGAACACCAGCGTCGATTAAAAAAAGCCTGTCCCCTGCACTTACTCCAATATTTGTGATGAGCCAGTGTATAACGTAAGCACGCCATGGGTTGCTGGCTGAAGGCGCATCCGGGTCAACCATCATTAGCGTGTAATTCAAATTCTGGCAGGAAGAAATGAAGAATAAAATGCACACCTTACTTTTTTGTCTGATACCCAAGTTAATTTCTGGACTATTTTTACACCAAAGACAAAACTGGTTTCTTGCCATATTTTTTTCACTTGTTTTTCAGGTCGATTAACATTGTTCGATAAAAATACTCTGCTAAATTTATAAAATCACTGAATGGAGGAAATTATAACAGTCCAGATATTTTTGGGTTGGGTCGGGCCACATTCAAGACCATTTAGGATTAATAGTCGCTCATACCGGATTCGCTCCCTGGTACGCCACAGTGCTGGGCGGCTTTTCATCACTGACCAAGCTCAGCTCCACCGCATCACCGCATTCCATGGAGAGCGACGGGTAGCTTACAGCCAGCACTGCGCTCAGAGCGCACGGGTCCTCCGTGGCAGGAATGGGAGGCGCGCCCGTCTGACCTCGGCACGGGCCCACCGCGAAGATCGCAGCCATCACAGCGGACAGGAGAGTTCTTGTTACTTCCATTGCCTCCAGTGTTGTCAAAATACGGCTTAGGACTACAGCCACAACTTTAGTAAATATCAAAAAAGTCAAAATAAAATATTTGACTATTGACAATAGAGTGACCCGAATCGAGATAAAGTCATTCAATATAAAGGTCCAAAGAGTGCGTGACAGATCCCGAAGGTTTGAAACAACCTATAACAACATCAAAACTGTTCAACGGAGTTTTTCTTTTTATTTTGCCTAGAGATTTTGCGTCCGTTTACACAGTTGGGCCGATAACAAAAAAAAAATTCAAGTGTACAATTAAAGGGCTTAAAATGAGATTTTAGCAAGACTTTGTTTCAAACTTCCCCGAATTTAGACAAAGATATTTCTCGACCGAACGTCCCTAGAACTAAGCGCTACCTATTGACACAATCGCAAATGTTAGGCAATCCTGTCAGTGACATAAAAGTAAATAATTGTGGAAGAGTTTACTTTTGGGGGACTCGATGGAATTGAATTAACGATGCTTATCTAGGATGCCCCAGTGTCAGTCCGTACCACCAAAATATATATCTCACGGAGTCCTCGAAGTGACACCTCGAATCGACATCTACGACGTTAACCAGGTGGGGCGTTTTATCAAGAGAAAAAGCGAAGTTTAAAGTGAGAGGTCGACATCTTGCGATAATTTTGTCGCGAATAACATTATTTTCATAGAAGGTCGACCATTTAATGAGCTAATTTATCGCAGTCCTGGTAATAACGGTATGATTCTGAAAGTGAGAAACAGATACGAGGGGAAGATTTTCGAAAGCCTTTGCACTGAATGCGAGATGTCAGCCAGGTTCTTGGACACGTTTATTGAACACCGGAGGAATTTGTTCGCAGTTTTTTCCATATTTTTTGCGGGGATATGACTGTTGTCTATTTTATTGTAAACGTCCGTAGTCGATGGCAGCTGATACGTGTATGTCTGCGACAGGTATGGTGCCTTGATCAAAGTACAACTTAACTGTGCACAAAGCCTGCTCATTATATTGTTAGGGCGCCATCAAACGACAAAAGTGAGCAGCAGAAACATTAAAAATGGCGGCGCCCATGGACAACGAAATATCGCCCCCAATATCAGAAAATACTGCCACTGCCAGCCGACGAACCGTTGTTCATGCAAGAGAACCTGAAGGCAATCGTTTCCAGAGATGCGTTGACTTCATTGACGAAAATCTACGACTTTTTAGGGTAAGAGAACAGATTTTAAAACGATTTACAGTCACAAGTGGCGTTTACCATCATTCATAAAATCATGTCCATGTGTAGACCAGGTGGATTCCCTGACCGTAGAAATGAAGACAACGTCCAACCTGAGCTAGTCCATGTGTACATGTATCCACGGCATGAGTCACCATAATTTGCGCTCTTAGTACTTTGACCAAAATTTGTTCTGAAAGTGGCTTTTGATTCTCACTAGTTGAAAGTAAAATCAAACATGGAAAAATGTTATGAAGAACACTGAATGTCACCAAAGAAACAGCAACAACGTCTTCTGCTGACGCATCAGATTGGCTGTAGTAAAACCTACATCACCATAATGCATGGTGCATGAGTGTATGTAGGTTGCAAACGTCAGTTTACGGGGTATCGGTAATGCACTTATTCTGAAAAATCTGCCCGTTAATGTCTCTTGAATGAGGAATTATTTTTACATTAATTGCTTTGGTGCAGTGATGCAGTTTGAGGGAAAAAAAAACACTTGTATTTTTTTTAGTTTATTTAACATAGCTTGATTTTTCATCACAGTTCTTTTTCACTCACCTAGTTTTTAATTTTTGTCAATTTCATTTCAAGGTACAGTGAGGCATGAAGTTTTATTCTTTCAAATAAGTCATATTAGCATTAATGTGAGTAATTGATGTGGATGACAACCTTTCTTTCTAGGTGTATTTCTGAAAAAAGTTACAAAATACAGTGCCACAGAATCCGCGGCCACTGTTGGCAATGGAAATCTCAGAATATAAGGTGTGCAGTGTTTTTTCAAGCTCCATATTTATTTTTGATAATGCCCTCAGTTGCAGGCGAAAGTTGACCAAAGTGGTCATCATTGCATGTTTAGGATGTCCAACACCGATCATGAGTGAACAGCAATCATTTATCCATTTTCTAGACAATTTCAACCAGTTAATTTTTGTATTTAGTCTGTAAAGCAAAACACTATCCTCTGTAGACATTTTTCCAGAATTCTCACTAGAAAAGCTTTTAATTTGCACATAGCTGCAGACAGAAAAATGCCGAAGTGACGATCGATCATTGACAGTAAATTAATGTCCATGCATAATTTCATTCAAGAGTTCCGCGACAAGAAAGTTGGATTCGCGAATATTTGTATGCGCGAATTTAGGGTACTCCACTATAGGTGTTTGTTCAACTTCTTACGATATGATGGGTAATTTGGAAAGAATTCCTCATACCCCTAGCCCTAATTATTCCCTTCAATGATTTATTAGTCATCTGAAAAAAAAATCCTAAAAGTAAACTTTAGTAGTGAAATACCAATGTACATCAAAAACCTTCAGGCCAGTCACATAGCCAGTCACGTAACGTAGGATTTGTGCACAGGGTATCAAGTGGCGTCTGTCTATCAGGTAATTTTTAGACACTAGCCTTTGTGTCCCCATGTCCTGAATCTGATCTCTTCCAAGGCGAGTCAATCTCTTGATTAAAAGCTGACGCTGGTCTCAAGCATTCACTACTTCTTGAGAGAGAGCCTTCAAGTCTTCAGAAAATAAAGATTGAGAGCATCATATCACGATCAAGGCAGCTGTCAATGCACCTTCATCCGGCTGTAGCCGACATTACGCCATACTCTTATTTTCAGCTTTCTCTTAAAAAGAGATAGTAAAACACAATTGTTGTGAGGGATCGTGGTAGTCGATTTTTGTCATTTCTTCACGAGCACATAACACAGTGTTTCATTTGATCCCCCAAGGATACACAAGAAATGGTTGATGGTCAATCAACATTTCTTCAAGTTCATAAAAGCATAGATGGGCTGTACATCGTAAATCTCTTTTCTCCGAGCATAAATTTCGCAGCAGGGCAAAAAAAATGGATGATCCCTTCATCACCATCCCATGTTAGAAGCAAGAGGTGATGTACTGTAGTGTTAACATCCAGTGCTTAAAATAATAACTACACTCAGACATGATGTGTTTGTCCATCCATTTCTTTTTCCCAATTTTTTCTACATCTTCAGACCGGCGTCACTGTAACCGCTGCCCTGGGTGTGTTGTTAATTGCCAGAAGCATCCGTGTGGTAAGTGGATGTAGCTGACATAATCATGGCTCTTTGTGAATTTCTATCCAAGCTTGTTTCCCCTTCCATGCTATGGCTGCGTCCGAATCTCTCGTCTAGAGCTAGGTCTAGGTCTTTCCTCCATTGGAAATGCACGGAGACGTGCAGACAATAGACCTAGCCGTAGCTCTGGAAGCCCATTTTGGACACAGCTTCTGCCAGACTATTGAAAACCAAAAGCCTTTGCCTCATGTCAGGCCAAACAAAAAAAAAGTTGGTTTTCTGGTGACCTGACTCAACCCAGAAAACCATACAATCAGTGCCTTTTGTTCCAGTGTTAATACAGAAAACTAAATGGTTGTGATACCGACCCTGACCAGATTTACTGTAGACATCAATCTCTGTTTTTTTATTTTCCTAATTTATTTTCTAAGGTGGGTGTATTGAAAGCCTTCGAAAAAAGCCTTGGTCTAATGTGCCTCCACCTGTCCACCCACTCAAATGGCAAATAACACTAGTGCTGATGTCAATTCAATTCAATATAACTTTATTATCCCATTAATTTTAAAGGGAATTACCTTGGGCCTTTTTACACACATTTAACGAACATTAAAAAATAAAAAATTTAAGAATCAATATAGTTGATAATAACTCCTACATAATAAAAAGCTTACTAATACTGTATGATCATCAGATCATGGAATAATCATCTAGCACTCCATGATAAAGTGAGAAATGCAATAAAAACCACTACCAGAGGAAAACATGACACTTGACACGTCATCTTATATTCAGACAAATCACAACTTTACAGAAAACGCACAGCAAAATAACAGGACCTCAGTTTCAGACCAAAACGAAATCCCCAAGTTACCCTAAGCCTCAAAACTAAATATGCTGCTGCTCATGAAAGTCTTATGTCTAACTTTCAAGTCTAACTGCCTTTTTTTTCATTGCAGTATCAGCGATTCCAAAGCGTGTCGGACATTCCGGAGGAGTTCGTCCGCAAAAACGTGAAGCTGTACGGCCGCTTTATCGAGGTGAAAGAGGACCCAGTCCACATCGTCGTGCGGCACACGCCCATCTTAGACCTTCAGAAATGGCCGAGAAAACAAGACAGGGGTGAGTGAAGTGACATAAAGCTGAATCCTAGGAATTTAGGATCAGAATATTTTTATTGCAGTGGTAAGAATAATTTGAGCAGAGTGGAATTTTCAGTCTGCCCCCTCATCAAACGATTCTTTCCATTGCACGATTATATCCATCATTTGTTTCATATAAGGGACTGAAAACGTCTCTGTTAACTGTAAACGTCACTAATTTGTTTCTTCAGCTCAGCGTAAACTCGCGACTTGAAGTTTTCGTGTTCCGAGCCACAGTTGATATTTTTTCTGTTAGTTTGGACAGATGTAACTGCACCTTCCCATGTGCAGTGCAGCCTTCATTGCCTGACTGTGCCTTTCGTATACACGCAGTTTATCTAATGGGATATATTCAATGACGCCGCCATTAGATACCGAACTGAACTGACCCCGTGACTGTAAATTCACCCACAAAGAAGGTAAAAATGTAGCATTCCGTGAAAAAAAACGTGACGTGTATCATCTCCGTAGATGGCCTCAGTGGGCTGCCGGTACATCTCGCCGGCCTAGAGCTACAGGACGGATGCAAGGAGTACCTAAGAGGAAGACTTACCGCTCAAGTCACGTTACGCTTCCACGTGCTTGACGTGAACAAAGAAAATGGTCTTGACTGCATTGTAGACCTCGTGCAGTGGAAGGTACATACATGTTTAGGTTTGAATTTTCCAAGTACTGTTCATTTTCAAGTAATTCATTTAAATTAGTTGTCATATTATTTTAACATTAAGTGTTTATGTTATATGTTCGTTTTCCAAAGATAAGATGGTGTTAGATATGTTGCATTTTTTTATTTCGAAGGGGTTCCTACAATAATCCTCGTGGGTTTTAGGGATTTGTTAGAAGGCAGTTTGATAATTTCATTACTAGACTTATTTGCAGACCTCACTCCTTTGCCAAAATGATAGCAGAAATATTCAATTTTCTCTATGTTGAATATTCACCAGTACTCCGAATTCACAATTTTCAAAAATAAAATGAACCAATCAGCAGGTCATTGTTTCTTGGTAGATTCCATTAGTTGTTTTCCGTCTGCACTAGTTATTAATCTTGATGTTTAATTCTCTTATTCTCGTTTGCAGTTTCCCTTCAGAAGGACTTCCTTGAATGAAGAACTTCTGAGCCAAGGTCTTGCCAAAGTTACACCTCTCCCTGGTCTTTTGGATCAACGGCTACAGACAAGACTAACACAACAACTTCTTGCAGCCGAGCTGCGGGCAGAGAAGAAGTCCCGAGGGGTGTGGTTGCAGGAGCGTGAGCCCAGCCGGCTGGCAGTGGCTAAGGACCGGCTGGCTCGGGCAGGAGCAGCACTCGCATCAGGGGTGACCGTCTTGGGGAAATTTGCAACCCTTCCATGGAGAGCCATCAGGGATCTACAAGGCATTTGGAGGAGACAACGTGACAGGGACAGCTGATGAGATGCAGATCAGTCTGAAATCTGTCAAGATGAAAAATGGAACATGTCAAGCTCAGTTGTTTGTCTGTCATTATTCCTTCCATTCTGCACCCACTCAAGGCTGCACAGCAGCTGCTCATATGTACACCTGGACATTGCAAGAAGTGAGGGCCACGCCCCCCCTGAACAAAAGAACTTGCAAAACCAAGAAGAGGGGAAAAAGGTTAAAACAGGTCATTACATTGAAAACACCTCTGATTCAACCCCTTTATAAGGGCAAGTTTTTTTTAATTTGCTGCAGATGAATGTTTTGCCCCCTCCTGGTACATCCTAACAGGGCGCACCCATGTGCGTGTAGTTTGCTGCCCTCAACGGTTTGTGCACAAATCAGATGCCGCTCAGTCAGACGTAGTGACCGTCAAGACAAAGAATGGATTGTGCAGAGAGCCACTAAAAATGCAGGGGTTTGAGAATTCAGTCTTTTAGCTGTTTGCACCTTTTTTGTTGAGATGTTGACCCTGCATTTCAGCTTTTTGTTCACCTGGAACTTTTTACCTTTCAGCTTTTTGCCAGCTGTTCTCAGCCAAAATTGCCAAAATTTGCCAAATATCGTTCATGTTCATTGTAGTTAGAATTTAACGAGCCTCGCTCCCTTTTCAAGTCAAAAATGTAAACGTGGCTTGAAATTGAATATACTTAGGATCGCTAAAACTAGGAGTGGCCCAACTAACTTGTCCATCACATGCTACAGCTAGCTACGGTAGCCACTGCCATGCACAAAGCCGTTCAATATTGGAAGCTTGATAAACTCGTGTTGGGACTGATTTGTGCCAGCGTGTTTCTATGAAACAGTTTTATCTTTACTCCACTTATTCCCACAAAAAACACTGAACCAATACTCTTATTGGTGAAAGACTCGGAGTCGTCCAGACATTGGATGAACAAATACAGGATAGGATTAAATGCATGTTCGGTGTGTAAAAAATAAACAGTGTGAAGGAGACATCGATTGTTACATCTCCTTTAGTACCTTTGTTACGGAATGTCTACGGACATTAGAGTTTCTTAATATTAAATTATGCTGTAGCAAGTATAAACCACTCTACCTCCCCTAAATCCTGCACCCGGGAGATCTCTGGTTTACCATGTATGTATAAATCACAACTAATTCTCTTAAATAATAGCCGTGTGATTGCATAATCTTCCCAAATCCATTTTCAATTTCATTCCACGCACATACCAGAGAAGAGGGGTCAGTCAAGGAAATGTCTATATACATTTAGCAAAGAAAAACAAAGATCGACTGCTAATTCTCTCAAAGTATACTGTTTGTTATAAAGCATTGCAGAACTATACAAGTATTTTAGTTCTAACGCCTTATTGGAGAAGATTACGTTCAGGAAAAAAACACATAAAATTTTAAAATGCTCTGAAAAACCTGTGCCCCCTAACTGCTCAGACTTCTCCAAGGCGGCGGTGTTGGGCTTTACCACAAGTACAATTCATATTAAACTCAATCTGAAAGCAGAATGTGCAGCATCTCGAAGAGAGTGCTTGCCAAAACGGATTTCGTTAGCTTTGCCTTATTTTCAATTAATATTATACTCAATATGAAAACTGAATTTAGTCTCGTGTGGAGTGCTTGCTGGAACTTATCTCATGTGCTTTGCCGTCTGCATTTATACAGGACTGTGTTACGCAACACTTGCCTCGCTATGCGAGTCTCGAATTTCTCAGAAGATTTCCCGCTATTCTGCGAAACGTGGGAATGAATATTGTAAAGTAAGATGAGAAGCGAATGTACACAAAAGCCACGCACTAACAAACTGTGCATTTCCCACCACTGAAAAACACGCACTAAAAGAATGTATCATTGCTAACGTGTCGTATTTACCGTAATTAAAAGCTTAAAGTCAGCGTCGTTTGTCCACGAAACAATGAGTAATAAAAACAGTGTAATAAAGACGATTCACGAAAGAAATTATGAGATAAAACACCACAGTCTTTGGGAGAAAAGAAAACACGAGACCAGTACGTACGGATACAGGCTTACAGCATGGCTGTACTTAAGCCTTACTCAAAAATCCGTGGGGGAAGTCCCCCCCCGGATACGCCACCACTGGCTATGTCGTGTTTTAGCTAGAAGAAAAAAATCGTCTTTAAAATAAATCTATGTAGACACATAGATCAAATTCACCTCAAAGCAAACGGATCAACCCCGAATGGGAAACACAAACCAAACAAAGCTGAATTTTTGAGAAGCTCAACCACAACGAACCAAACCACAAGGCAAACAACACTAGCATTATTTTTGGGGTCCTTGTTGGTTGACACAGAAAAATATTACCCCTGCCGCCATGTGCATGTGACGCGCTAAACTTGACCGCACGCGCGACCTTCCTCCGTGACGTCACTGATTGTTACATTACGCGGGCGATGCATGCACAGTACATGCATGCAATGTATAGAAATACAGTACATGTACATTGTACATTCTGCAGAAGACTGCAGCACATACGCGATTGCACTTTGACATCGGCAGCCATTGTACATGAAGACCTAATCCTCGGGCTGCAAGGAGCTGCAATCTGACCCCGATTTCGACCATGTCCTCAACCATGTCTGACGTGGGTTCTCCCTCTTTGGACGTGTCTGACCAGCTAGAATGCCCGGTCTGCACGGAGCAGCTGTGGGAACCTAAGCTGTTGAACTGCGGCCACACCTTCTGCCTGAAATGTCTGCAAGCGCTGTTCCAGCCCGAGATGTTCCCCCAGAACCCTGTGGTGGTCTGCCCCTTGTGCCGCAAGAAGACCCCGGTCCCTAACAAAGGGATAGCTGGCCTCAACTCTAACTTCGCTCTTCAGAGTCTCCTGGAAGCCCTGTCGGGCGTCAAGCCCAAAACCCCAGCGGAGGTGGCCAAGACCGAAGACGGGGAGCCTACCACATGCGAGATCCACAAGGAGATGAAGAAGTTCTACTGCAGCTCATGTGAGGTGCTGATTTGCCGTGACTGTACGGTTGTGGACCATCCCCGACCAGAACACAAGTGCATGAATCTGGATGAGGCTTACACGTGGAGGCGTCAACTCAATGAGAGGGAGTTGCAGCTGGCCGTACGGGTGGTCAAGCTGGCCAAAAAGGCAAAGGGCATTCTGCAGTCCACCGAGGCCTCTCTGAACCAGCGATGCGACCAGGTCATTGGTGAGATCGAGAAGTGCCGGGAGGCAGGCCTGGAGCAGCTCCAGGAAAAAATGGAGGCTATCGAAACCTTCCAAGTCGACCTGGAGAACGAGATCCTGGGGCTCCACGACTTGACCGAAGCAGCCACCAAAACCGATCTCTTGGACCAGTCCAAGGGCGTCATCGAGAGCCTGACATCCTTGCGAGAGCAACAGGACGAGGTGCTAGACAAGCCAGAGAAGGTACAGTACCCAGTCTTTGTAGCATCAGGGGAGGAGATCCAAGGATGGCCCAAGCCTATCAACCTGGACGGATCAGGCAAGGGCAAGTCTCGCAAGCCCAGGCCAAGGAGACAGCACAGCTCTGGATCTGTGGGCCAGTCCAAAGAGGAAACGGGTGGCATCAGCGGGGAGTTAACTAGTCTGATGGGGGAGCTGCTTTCTGGGGACAGCATCATGCTGGACAGTCAAAAAGGAAGGGGTCAGGGAAATCGAGGGAGAGGCTACTATCATCACCGTGGGCGGGGAGGCAACCAGTACCGGGGGCGAGGCAGTAAACGGGGTCAGGGAGGAGGGGAGAAGGGCCGAGGGTATTAAAACCAAAAAGGAAATTAACTGTCAAATAGCTCCATATCAGTGAATAATTACATTAGTGTGCACAGCCGGGTTGAAAAACATCAAAAGTTTCTTCGTTTGAACTTAATTAAAGGAATTCCAGTTATGGAGTCTGTTGTCAGAATTTGTGTGAGGGGGAGGGGATTAGATTAATTGAGGGGGGGCGCATTCAAATACTACAAGCCTAATCACAAGGCTGGGAAATAAAAGAAATCTGAACAATACGGCCGTTTCTCAATAGTGCGCCACAAAGAGTTTGCAACACGTTGGCCAATCACAGTGCGCGAAATTTGTCGACCCAATGCTCGTTTGGAAAGGGTTGACAAATTTTGCACGGTATGATTGGCCAATGTGTTGCAAACTCTTGGTGGCATGCTATTGTGAATCGCCTGTATTGTTCAATATTCAAACTAAAGCTGTAGCTCTTGGGTTTAGTTAGCCAGATACCTACAGATGTTATTCAAATTTTGGATCACTTGGTTTTGCCTGCTGTAAATTAACTGTTGCTAATTCAAGTTTCTTCACATTTCATGATACAGTTGTGTTTTGCCTATGTAATTGCCTGGTCTCTTGTCATAAATGCCCATCTTCAATTGCATGTACATTTTTGTCTTTCCTGGATTGGCAGAGGAATAAAAAGATCTTTGTCTAAATGCTAGTGTGAAACACCAGCTCCTGCGGTAAACTAGAGTAGCAAAAATTGTACCTAAAATACACAGTTTTTTCTTAAATTCCATATGCATGTTCTCGTATTTAATAGTTTACTTTCATTTCAAGGCTTTTCATAAACAAACTCCTGAAAATTCTTTGACATTAACATAAAAAAGTACAAGTTTGTTACATATCGATTTAAGGGAAAAATACTTTGTTTCTGCCAGCTAAGTTGAACATGGGATTGTCAATTCAATGATTAATCTTCATTTTAGGGTAGGTTGGCCTTGAAAACATAAAGGAAGGCTGGAATGAGTCGGCATTATTCTCGATCAACCACTTGAATTGAATAACTCCATTTAACATTCAAATAAGGTGCAGATGTACATTTTGTAGAAATGAGAAGGAAAATGAATTCACTTACATGTATGCCATCAAAAAATTTGTTTTGCTTCCAACTTCATGGAAGCTGAAAATACAGGTGGATAGGAATTCTCCCACTCCCCCCCCCAAAAAAAAATACCTGATTTGGTATGGCCAAGTGCTAACTGGTTAAAACTAACGGCAGCAGAAGAGGTCGGTGACTTTTTTTTTACATGTACATGAAAATGAACAACACTTAAACCCAAACTGACTAGTTTTTGTGTATAAAAACATCCCGAAATTCAAGGACTTAGCCGTGTTGGGGTACTAGTTGCGTGTATGAAGAAGGGTCTGTATGTTGGACGTTTTTGCCCCACAGTTTCAGACTAAAATGGGTATATCTTTATCTTTATTCTTTCCTTTTGGGGGCAATGTTACCAGAACATGGTAGATGGTTATAATTTGCCTCAGTGTTGAGATGCATGTAAGTGAAAGCATCAATGTGTGTTAATTGGATGCTTATCCAAGTTCATTGTTAAAGGTTACGGTTAATGAGGTATATGATTGTCCAGTCACAAGATATTAGATATTGATTGGATTAGTCTTTATTTGCCAGACTGTTTCAGGCAGTGTTATAACAGAGCTTGTATCATAAAGAAACTTAAATATATTTGCCAAGTATTAAATATATTTGTTTTCATTCAAATTACACTATGCCAGTACTTCCACATTTTCAGTTCATCGTTGTGAATCTAGAAATAATGTGTGGTGTAGTTATTTGATTGCAATTAATATAGTTTGAAAACAGAGGTTTAATTTATTGCTTACCCGTTGTTTTATCTCCTGTTGTCAACAAGTGCATTGATTTACCTGTCCAGAAAATATGAAATTGTATTTGAGTTACATAACAAATAAATCTCATGTAATGTTACCCTTAGCCTAACCGAACCCCTGTACGATGCAATTACAGTCACTTAGAATCTCGGGTGTGGATAAAGTTAGGCCACGGAAATGATTAATACTATTTCTTGAATTCTTTATTTTTAGTTTTATTGTAATTTTTAAAATTTATTACTGAAAGTACCCTGATTTTGTTTAATGTTCGAATGAATTATTTTGTTTTCCACAGTTCAAACATGGTTAGGAAAGACTGACATGCTGGCTAGGTATGATTCTTCTTTATTTTAAAACAGTTATAGACTAACCCAGTTAGACGCCATAGCTGCGGCGGCACTGCTCTCACGCGCACAGAAGGCTTCCGGTTGACGCGAGCGTGCATTTGGCAAATCAAGACACCCTATTGGTTGAAGAGACATGTAATGCGCGCGCGCGCCACCTCTCCACGAGCATTGTGTCACCACAGAAGTGGCTTCTGATTCTGGTTGTCGAATTACATTTCAGTGAAAGAAGTCACAACAGTACACAACTAACTTCTTCGTGGGTCATTGTAACTAACCCTTTTAGTACATGTGCATGCTCTGTCGGTGGAAATATTTGCAGTTTGAATTAAATTATTTCATTTCCGGAAATTCACCGTTTCGCATCGTGTCTCTGCTGTTTAAATTAAATTTGTGTTTGTAGTTGAATTGTTTTTATTGCACAGGTCCACGATTACATGTCTAATTATTTGTCATTAATAGGTCATATACCTCTTGGGTAGAAACAGAGTGAATTATATTTTGGCCACAAAAGAACTCTTTTGCAGGTTTTACCGGAGATGATAAACGCATAACGTTAGACTTTTTGTCTCTTCTTGACGATGTGGAAACTCGACTTGAATAAAGGCACAGCCGTGGCCGGCTCTGGAGGATTCTTTTCAAAGAGAAGTAAAGTCAGTCATTTTAAACAGCGGAAGCTTATGAATAGCCGTGAAGACTACCATTTTTTAGAATCAATAACACCATTTTCCACAAGAGGGTACAAGTTGTATCCCCAGATACTTGTTGGAAAAACACACTTGGTACGCGTACGTACTGGAACTTTTGTGTTTACGCCCTATATCGATGAATATTTAGCGCACATGTGTGCGCAGTCAACGTTTCCCACCTGACACTTCATCACAGACGAGGCGTCGGTAAATTAGCCATGCTGCACTGTATTTATTGATCTACACAGTGGGGATTATCTGAATTTTAAGCTCAAAAACAAGGCACATCAGTGTTAGAAAAAACAGCTCACACAGCTTCAATATCACTTTAAAGTTCCGTTAACAACAATCAACTGCTTCCAACTATCTTTCCCCCAAAACAGCCAGTTGAAACATCACGCCAATTAGTTATTTTAGCTTCTTTTAGAAAACAGCCAGAGAACTGAATATTGTTTTAATAGGCACTCTTCTGATCGGCATTTGACCTCGATTAATGTACAGGCTGGAGTTGATCGCTCGACGTCTTTAACTATACTCAAACATTATAGACACTTTTGGTAGCGACGCACGTCTTGTGCCGATATCCGCCGGTTGTTCGGATGTAAACTGATTAAAAGCTTGACGCCAAGTCGATCGTAATTTATACAAGCAAGGTGTAGCATAAAGTTTACGCGTCTCCTGAAACAACTTCAGTACTCTGTATATGAAAAAAATGGCAATTTTCTCGCTGTAAATACAGTATCATTGTGCCCAAATATTAAAACAATCGCACTTAATCTAAAACTATTACGCAAGTTTCCAGCAGCTCCAGGGTTCCGGGTTTCCTACCGTAGACCTCATTGTCCCTTACGCCCAGGGTGTGAATTTTCTGTCACAGAATGTGCTTTTTGTAATATTACCTCAGAAAAAAATACCCCATCAGCGTGCAGCTTTGGCAGTTCCTATTAAACCTTAATCTGCTGAAATATCAAATACCTACAACATTTATGAAATCGTTTCACTGGAGAAACGCGACTTCCAGGAAAAACAAGAGACAACATTTTAAAATGCTCTGAAAACATCAGTACCCCCAAACAGCAAGCATTCTCCTCTGTGAAGGTGTTGGGCCTCACCAACATTACTCACAAGCGAGACTAATTGGTATGAAATGCTCCCTTGCATTCTCCTACTTTTTTACATACCCTGTCACACCTCCTTCGTAACGTCTATTTGTACCATTCAACAGCTTGTAACATCTGTTCATACCATGGGTGCACGCCTGACTACGTGGTATGCATTATCTGAATTCTAATTAGGACAATTAAATCCCACTGTACAACGAGCCGCAGGAAATGTGTGCTATCGTGGTATAATGAACCTTTAATTTATGAGTTGGCCACTATTGAAATTGAAAGTGAAGTTAACAAGAACTCTACGTGTTTGGAATTTAAAAGCAGCAATTTCCTGCCAAATTACCTGTCATCTCTATTGAATAATTTTATATATTGAAAAATATTATATATAAGTGAAAAACTTCATTGTTATTATTTAAGAAAGATTTTGGAAAAATTTGAACGAAAGGCTTGGAGCCCACATGAATTCTAATATGGTCTGATTCCATCCCCGATTCATCAGTTAACAAGTTTATAAAACAGATTCCATGAACGAGATCCAAATGGAATTCCCCGGAATTAGATCCATTGCGTCAACCGCAGCTTGTGAAATACTATCCAAGTACATGTACATGTAGGCCTAAGTCTACAGGACGCGCAAAAATTGACACCAAATTGGAACTTCCTTCTTCCATGACAAAACTGAATGTACAAAATTCTATAGGTTAATGTGAAAGGAGCTTATTACCGGAAACAAATGGAGATGGGTCAATTTTATTGGCTGCTTGGATACGAAAACAGCCTAGATAACGCATACGACCTTCGCCCCATTGACGTCACGTGTTCAGTTTATGTTCGTGTACATACAGACTAGATACGCAGTTGTACATCAGTTTGAGACATTGTGCATAAAATTACGTAGGCCTACACAGTGCTTACGCGTTCTTCGAGTGCACTGTCAAGGCTTTGCAGAGACGCGTCCTTGAAGTTGAAGCTGATGCTGAGCTGTAATACACGGCTGATATTTCCACCAATTTTGTACAAACATGTCTGGCGTAATTACGTCATACCGGGACGTGCAGCCAGAATGTGCACTCTGCTCGGGCCGGACATTGTTGTCGGAATCCAAGCGGCTGTACTGCGCTCACACCTACTGCCTGAAATGTCTGAAAGGGCTGGTCATGTTGGACGATATACCCCCCAAAAACCCAGTGGTGGGCTGCCCTTTGTGTCTTACCCTGACTCCGATCCACAGCCCAGAGATTGCCTGCCAGAGCACCGTATTCGACCTGCAGAGTCTCCTGGATGCCTTGCCGCCTCTGGTGCAGCCTGAAAGCCCAGCAGAGGTGGCCAAGACTGAAGACAGTGAGTCTTACATGTGTGAGATTCACGAGGAGATAGAGCCTGACACACCGGCAGAGGTGGCTGAGACAGACGACGGTGAGCCTTATGAGATTCACGAGGAGTGGGATCCCGAAACCCTGGCAGAGGTGGCCAAGACTGAAGAAAGCGAGTCTTACATGTGTGAGATTTACGAGAAGATAGAGCCTGACACCCCAGCAGAGGTGGCTGAGACCGACGACGGTGAGCCTTATGAGATTCACGAGGAGTGGGAGCCCGAAACCCTTGCAGAGGTGGCCAAGACTGAAGAAAGCGAGTCTTACATGTGTGAGATTTACGAGAAGATAGAGCCTGACACCCGGGCAAAGGTGGCCGAGACGGAAGACGGTGAGCCTTATATGTGTGAGATTTACGAGGAATGGGAGCCCGAAACTCTGGCAGAGGTAACCGAGACAGAAGACGGTGAACGTATGTGTGAGACTTGTGGGGAGGTAGAGCCTGAAGCCACAGCAGAAGTGACCGAGACGGAAGATGGTGAGCCTTACGAGATTCACGAGGAGTGGGAGCCCGAAACCCCGGCAGAGGTGACCGAAACGGAAGACCTTGAGCCTTATGAGATTTATGAGGAGTGGGAGCCCGAAACTCTGGCAGAGGTAACCGAGACAGAAGACGGCGAACGTATGTGTGAGACTTATGGGGAGGTAGAGCCTGAAGCCACAGCAGAAGTGACCGAGACGGAAGATGGTGAGCCTTACGAGATTCACGAGGAGTGGGAGCCCGAAACCCCGGCAGAGGTGACCGAGACGGAAGATGGTGAGCCTCCTGTGTGTGAGATCCACAACGAGGTGAAAAAGTTCTACTGCTGCTCGTGTGAGGTACTGATTTGTCGTGACTGCACGGTTGTGGACCATCCCCGACCGCAACACAAGTGCATGAATCTGGACGAGGCTTGCACCTGGAGATGTGCACTCAATGAGAGGGAGCTGCAGACAGCTGTGCGGGTGGTCAAGCAGGTCAACAGATCAGGGGGCATCCTGAAGTCAACCGAGGTGGCCCTGAACCAGCGATGCGACCAGGTCATCACTGAGATTGAGAGGTGCCGGGAGATGGGTCTGGAACAGCTCCAGTGGCATGTGGAGGCCATCGAAGCGTTCCAAATGGATCTGGAGGCAGAAATCTTTGGGCTCCATGACCTGACTGAAGATGCTACCAAAAAAGATCTCCTAGAGCAGTCCACGGAACTAGTGGAGAGCCTGATGTCCCTGTGCGAGCAACAGGAAGAAGTAATCAACAAGCCTCAACCGGTGCAGTACCCAGCTTTCCTTGAGTCTGTGGATGAGATTCAAGGATGGCCGAAGCCTCTCAACCTCGACGGACTGGATGAGGAGGAGCCTGATTTGCCTACACCCGAAGGACAGCAGAGCTTGGAGTCCAAAGACCAGTCAAACAAGGACACAGACAGCACAAGCCGGGTACGTATTCCCCCAGTTGCAGATGCCGGGCCAGTGGTCGTGGACAGTTCTTCTAGGAAGGACAGTCTGGGTGGACGGAGTGAGAAAAATCATCAACCTAGAGTGAGGACACTGCAGAGCTCGAGATCCAATGACCCGCCCAAAATAGAGAGAGGCAACACCAGCAGGTTAGTTTCCCCACTTAAGATACCATGGCCGTTGTTCGGAGTGGGTACAGCAAATCGTCAACCCAGACAAAGGCTACAGCAGAACACAAGATCGGGTACCACCAGCAGGAGACTGCAGGCATATCAGACAATGGCGCCACCAAGGGGCTTTGATTGTCAAAGGCAGGACAGTCCAGGGGGAAGGGGGAAGGAAAGCCGGGGTAGGGGCCAATATCATCACAGTGCGCGGGGTGGGGCTAATAATTATGGTCGTGGTGGGGCTGATAATCGTGGCCGTGGTGGGGCCGATCATCGTGGTCATTTTGGGGCCGATCACCGCGGCCGTGGTGGGTCAAATAATCGTAGCAAAAGTGGGGCTGATAATCGTGGTCGTGGTGGGGCTGATCATCGTGGCTGTGGTGGGGCTGGTAATCGTGGCCATAGTGGGTCAGATAATCGTAGCTATGGTGGGGCTTATAATCGTGGTGGCGGTGGAGCCAGTCATCGTGGCCATGGTGGGGCCGATCATCACGGTCGTGGTGGGACTGATAATCGTGGTGGTGGTGGAGCCAGTCATCGTGGCCGTGGTGAGGCTGACCACCGTGGTCGTGGTGGGGCAGACAATCGTGGTCGTGGTGGGGCCCACCACCGTGGCCGTGGAGGCCACCAACAGCATGGGCGTGGTGGAAAACAGGGACAGGGAGGAGGTAAACAAGGTCAGGGGTCAGGACGTCAAAAAGGCAAATAAAGACTCTTCCACAAAATCACTGAAAAGTTTACGTGGGTACCAACAGCCGTTCATGTCTGAAAAAAATTCATTTTTTTACATGCAGGAATTTTCCATTGTCTCATTATGGGTATTTCCCTTCACTCCCAGTTAAACCAACTTTCAAATTGGCCGACAAGTTGGTGGAGTTGTCAGTGCCTAAACACACATTGGCTACACATCACTTACGCTACCTGAGCAGGTGTTTATGAATGCGAGGCATCAATAATTTGTTGCTTATCGGTGTGTTTCCCTTGTTGCTTTAATCATTATCTGTTTAGTTATAACACTGTGATAATCTTTTTCCTCTAATCCTCTCCAAGAGGTAAATGTTGTTTCAAGTGGTTGATAGTTAAATAATCTTTGTGAGAGCTTTTCCAAAATGCAAGCGTATGCAATCAGGATGGTTACAGACTGAATTGTTCTTGTTTGTTTGTTTGTTGGGTTGTTTGTTTGGTGGGTTGTTTGTTTGTTTGTTTGTTTGGCTTCATTTTGTTCAGTTCAGTGGACTGGCTTCTCTGGGAGAAATCCCATACTCATTCAATCTGTGTGAGCTTTGAAAAAATCATTTTTTTATCATTTAAGGTGTTCTTACATCATAAAGCACATTTCATTAATTGAAAGTTGGATTTAATCAGGCAATTTTGTGTGAAAATTGTGTATTGCTTCAGGTTTGAAATTGCCAGCGTCTCACTTCTGTCTTAAAGTCATTTATCGTATGTATATTTTATCTGTGTATGTCTTTATTACAATTGCCTATAAATTTAATCTCGCTGTACCTGGCTAGATGGAATGTACATTCTTTCTTTCATGTGAAATGTAGTACATGCACTAATGTATATTAAATGTATATAAAGACAATGTAATTTAATACCTAAAATGAAATCCTTAGAAATGTCCATTTGCATATTCAACCTCATTTCCATTTTAGTTATGGTAGTTTAAAGGGTATTTTGGTGCATTTTTTTTCATTTCTCTGCTGGGGAAAGCTGTGTATTTACGAGCAAAATTGTGGCGTTATCATGTTATCAAGTGATGTCAGCACCAACAAAATCGTTTGCAATGTCTGGATATTTTGCTTTTTCTTTTTTTTTTTTGGCCAATTTGTTATTTCAGACAATGGAAGTAAGCCAGTAACACAGTTTGCTAAAAAAAAATCGTTTTTATTGAGTAAATGTTAGGTTCACAATAGGAGCGGAAATCCACTTTCGATCTATAGTGTCTTCCGGGAATGAATGATATCACAGTTGCAGTGCACACATTTGTTAAGAAAAATAGAAATTGTGAAAAAGAAAAAAAGGACTTTTAAATGCAGTTAATCAAACAGGCATGTAAAATAGTTTCCACTGAAAGTTGAATAGGAAAGATTCACAGCATGGAGCCTTTGAAAAAATAAGGTATCCAGTTGCATTTAGGCAAGTAGACTTGCCATTTCTGTTGCTGTTTTGGTGCATTAGGGAGTGTTAAGGAATAAGAAATTTTTGTGTGTTTCTCAAAAAATACAGTGTTGGATTTTTTCCGGTTCATCAATACACAGATTAAGCTTAATATTGTTCATGAATTTTGATTCTCCAAATAAGTTTGAAGGGTGTCGGGCGAAACAAACATTCTATCTTAATGTAATAGTTCATGCTTCATTCTTTAAACACGTTTATTGTAATTGTCAAAGGTAGTTATGAAGTTCCTCATGTGTCACCAAAGCCAAAAAATGTAGGCATGGCCTGTGGTATTTGAATTAAAACATTTATTTCAGGAAATTCCTTCGATTGTGTGTGTCAAAGCTGGAGTCACTTGCTTCTGTAATGTTTAACTGATAAATGAGCATTTTTTGAATGTTCTGGTCTGTGATTGCACACCTATTACACATCTGTTCACAGCTCTGACCTGTCATTTTATAGGGCGCCCTCATCTGTTGGAAGTTTAGGTAACAACTGAAGCTTTTCTTGAGGGGGGTTTAAATTACTCTAACTGCCTTGGAACATACCATGCACTTCCTTATGGGAAGATGGATTATTGCTAGTCTTGAAAGGAGACTAGTCTGGAAGCTTTGCCTTTTGAATTGTCAAACAGTACATGTACTTCCTTTGAAAAAATCCTCCCAGAGCCACCAGTATAGCCTTTAGTCAAGTGGAGTTTTCCAACTGAGCATGTAAAAAAAAAAGGCATAAAAACCCTGGAGCTTGAGAGGGAACAGTCTACATGTAGTTCCCTGACCTGAAGATTCCTCTCAAGAGATGACTCTTGATAAAGCCTTAAAAAGATTGAGCCAGATTCACTTACCTGGGTTTGGAAATGCTCTGGGTAACTGTTTTGTAGATATCATTTGATTTTCTGCAAAGATTGTTTTGCAGTAAAACGAATTCAACATATCTTAATGCTTTTTATCAGCTCCGCCAGCCAAAGCAGTTGCATGTGCTGGTATACAATGTCAATGAAGAAAGTAAATGGGTCAAGCACTGTCTTGGGTGAAAACTTTTGTCCAATAATTATCTTTGGGTGATACTGAATGAAAATTTTGAAAAACTTGTTTGGAAAGCTTTCACCAAACTTGAAATTCTCAGATGCCTTGTTTTGAACCAACAGGGCCAGTATAGAGTTGAGATGTTGAAATAATCTAAATTAGGCAGCTGCACCCCCCCATTTAAACACAGTGTAACCCTGGTCATCAGCTGAAGCAAACCCTAACTGGAAGAAACTAACCCTAAATGCAAAACCTAGTCCACAGCCACCAACCCTAGTTTGGAGTCACTAGCTGTTATTGAAAGCAACAGAAAAAGCTGGAAATTCAGTATCATGTAACAACACTCAAGGCCATATGCCCATATGCGTCTTGAGCACCTGTGAAACTTGTATTTTTCCTGATTTTTTTGAAGTGGGGATATTTATCACTGTTGTCTTTGGCAGCTTAGTACTGGTGTTTACCCTTTAGATCAGAGGGACTCGTTTCACTGATCGTCTTGTCACGAGAGGGCGCTATTATGAAAAGCTCTACTAGTTTTTCGTGTGCGCGATTAAGAGCGATCTGCCGGTGGAAGCCTGGCCTGATCATAAACCGCCTACAATACTTAGAATATCATAAAAGCAAGGGAAAGTATCGGGGTTAGATCGAACGATAACAGATTTTAATTCCAATTTTTTTTGTTTTCTTGTCGTTGTCGTCATTTGAAAAAGTCTAAGCTCAGCTAAACTCTAGGCAAAATAGCTTCTCTTTGGATTTGTTTTGGTTTGTGTCTGCATCCAGTTTACTATGGACAAACTGTTACTAGTCAGTGTACTTTGACTTCTTGCTCCTCTCTGAAATTGAGTTTATATCCTATGCTGCCCACCCCTAGCGATGAGCGCATTTGTCTTCATCTTTGAATAAAGTTTATTCTCAGCCGTCACTGTGAAGATCTAAAGCATCTTTCTTTCTTTTTCTTTTTCCGTTTTGGTACAGCTGTAGACCTGTGAGAAAGGCAGGTAGGTCTTCTTAAGCTTCTGAAAAAGTATCCTGTTCATCCGCTAAGGAAAACTAGCGCCCTCCTCCGTTCAGGTAAGTGTCAAACCTTGGTGATTTAGCTATAAGCCACCGAGGCATACAAATAGCCGGAAAATAACACAAAACTGCCGTGACGGTTCCAAGGAAATAAGCCAAATCTCTTCTCTTTTTTCTTATAAACACTTGACTCTTCTCCCACACATAGTTGAATCCAATTTCAAACTCCGCTGGCGTGTCTTGACCGGGAGAAAAACCACAGCTTCATTTGCGTCATTTCCGGCGCCACAGGCTCGCTGTTGCTGGCAACTCGTAGCACGACGACGTGACGCACACGTGCTAAGCCTGCACGACAACTGGCAACGCACTCTTGTTGTCTGAACGTGCCCTGTTTCGCGGTTGACAAGGAAAATTTCTCGTTTCGACAGAGCCATCGTCAAAAATTGCTCTCGCACTTTAATGGGTGTCGCCGTCAAGACATGATTAAATGTTCGATCGTAAAACGTCCGTTTTCAACCTCTTGAGTATACGCGACCTTTCTGCGCGGCATGCACCAGTACCATGGCATAGACCGACTTAATGTATGCCAGTTTGCCGACGAAGGTCAATAGTACATGGCTGCCGATTGGTCAAAATACGGAGTTTCAGATGAGGGTCTCTTGCATAATTAATCAATGGTTTATCACAGACGCCTTTTGCAATTCCAGCGACTAAAATGTACATGTATTCTATAGACTAGTGCTATCAAAATGTGTTTGTCGATGCGACTGCAGACTTATGCGTTACAAAACGCATCGACAAAAAAGTGGACACCACAATTTCTTGTGAGTAAAAGAAACAAACATAATTTGGAGAAAGGCTATTAGGGAGCTGTCCCTTCATCATCAAAAACCGCAATACCCGAGGGGTTGTAACTAGATCTCCTTCGGAATGTTTTGTACAGAAACTTTCCACAGCCCACCAGCCCACGCCTACTGGCAGGGCACTACGCTTGTCCTAGTTTTTTTTTTATTTCATGATTGTTTTCATCTGAATTTTCCTTCTTTCAGTATTTTTAAAATAAATGTCTTCTTAAACTACATTTATTTTCTTAAATAACACTTCTTAAAATGCTGAGTTTACAAGCAAGGTGTTTTTGTATAAAAATTTATATTGAGCACAAGAAATGGGTATTGGAACACATATGGGTAATTCCAGAAATTAGGGGTCCAAAAGTGGGACTTTTTGTGTTCCCTATTACATCTGACCTTTGTTATTTGACATGGAAATATCACTGGGATTGATTTCAAACTATTACTATTTGTTTGGCGGGTAGTTTGCATTAATTCATCAGTCGTGGAGGTTAGAAGATGTGTCCTGAACTGACACAATCATATGTCAGATGAGACAGGGACACGAAAAAAAATGGATCCCTAATTAGGTTACCCATATACATGGAGACAAATAAACTCGTGGACACTGTCCGCCCTTAGCTGAAGTGAACCTTCAATTGGCGAAAAAAAGACAGGTGGTTACAAGCGGGTTCTTGCACGCGTTCTGCGTCGACGCGCGCAAAGAGCATAGAGTACCGTAGGGAATTCGTCACGCGCACAATTTAGTGTGTAAAAGGCATGGGCGCGTGAACCAACACGCGCGCGTACTCCATTCGTTTGCACTGCACTTTCTGGTTCACAGTGACGTTACACTTCGGTACTCTACACAAGCCGGAATCCGGTTCGTAAGTGTGACGTCACTTCAGTTGAAACCACGCCCACTGCACACGTGCACTGCACATAGGGTTACATGCACTGATCGCCGTTTACATGGAACCATGGAACCGGAATTTAACGTGCAATTTCAGTGATTGTCCAATGAGAGCCTGCAAATCGTGGCGCGTCCGCCTTTGTGTCGAATTCACTTACGAACCCGATAAATTAGTTACGCGTACCCAGCATGCTCCGCGCCTATGCGCAGGTACGAAAAAAACCATAGCACGACGAAACACGCCCTCTTTTGTTCTGCTCTGAGCAGATACTGCTGTGGGGCCCTCAAAACCTCCGGTGATCATTTTTCGGCTCTATTACATTTTTTTTAAAAAGATACATCTCTAGATTTGACTTGCCAAACTTCACTCACAGCACACATTTAAGAACACACCCGTGGGTTTAAGGATACCGAATGGGTCCGTATGTACCTCGGCTTTATTTTTCGGCATAAGAGCTTTGAACCTCCAAATACTTGTTGCAGCGGTCCGTATTGTCCCAGAGCAATCACTGCAAACTCGGAGGGGATTCACTTGGACATGAGATCAGTTATCTGCAGCAGCTTGTTACAGCAAAGTCTGGTCTGTATACCCAAAGATGCAGCCCTTTTCTCTGCAGTGGGCGTAGGGAGAGAGGCATTTGGATTGGATGGTCTTACACCCTAACAACCCCAGGGCCAGACTGACCAGGAATCTGGGCCCCATGGCGCCTGACCCTTTTCCGGGTCAAACTATGACCTGTTTTGGGCCATATTTGACCCAGAAAGGGTCAGTCTGACCCTGGTGTTTTAGACTGTACCAAAGGATAGCGCCTGCGTCCTGGTGTACACAGGATTCGAACCCGCGTACCGCAAACCATTCTCGAAAGATCACTCAAGCATTAACGGTAACGTCAACTGATATGTTCCCAATGTTGTACACTCGGAGGCTGGATTATTCCCTTTTAGTTCTTGGTGTTGTTTTCGATTGTGTTTCGCCCACGGTCGAGCAGCCACAGCGGCGCGTCACAGTCTGACTTTTGTTGTCGGTATGAAAGAAACACACCATAGCTATATTGATTCGCAGCAACTAATTTCATTAATTATCCTATTTATTCCATTTCATTTTTTTCGTTGGCACCGATGGCCAAGCAACACTTCCACTGAGCTTTAACGCCCCCATAAAAACACAATGAAACCCTTAGTCAACGGGCGGACCGCTTGCCGTCGGGCATGAAACTGTCCCCAATTCAGCATTATCCCATTTACTCCGCCAATGTGGAAGACCCATTATGAAATAAACTGTGAGTCCGAGAAATGCTGTGGGAATTAATGGCGCTTGAAATTAAATCCTGCGCCGTGCGGGCTCCCCCCCCCCGGCCCCCGCAGCCCGCTATATTGGAACTAAGGGAGGCCATTTCTTCACGGCAAGTTGGCAGGAGGGGAGCGACCGTAATTGGTGCAGGAGGGGCGGGCGCGACGGACGGGATTTGCCCGCGAGTCCGCGCCTCGGCGGTAGTTCCGGTGTCGAAGCGGCCTGCTTTTAATTTGAGGTTGAAGACCCTT